GCTCATGATGTGGCTTAGTAACTGTTATATGTTCAAATGTAGTATTTTGTGTGAAGTGTAGTTATTTGAAAAAGTAGAGCTATATAGCTAATTTTATCTTTCTGTCAACTGATTCATAGAAGCTGTATTCTCCAAATTATTAAGTGAAAGTACACATTTCATTTGATGTTCCTCTGTTTCTCGTGACATCAAGAATTGTCACTTATTACTGTACCTTCTCAGACCTAACAGTTTTCTGGATGCAGTTCTGGTCTGATGTGTTTCCTCCTCTCTGCAACAAACACCACCAGTACATTTTCTTTTTCTTGGTACTTAGCATCCAACTCAGGACCTTGCACTTGCCAGGTAGGTGTTGTGCCACTGAGTTATATCTCTAGTCCTACTAGTGTATTTTCAACATACTTTAATTCCGTGATCTGAGAAGTTCCATGTATCCATGCTTAAGAAGCACCTTAGCTGCTGCTAATGAAATGTCTGATGGAATGTGTGTTTCTCTGCTTTATATCTGACCTTGAAATCAATAGTTCAAACATTCAATCCTTGGTTACTTTGTTCTTTATAAATAACCTAGTTTTAAGTTCCTCAAACTGATTGTGTTTTTTTCCTTCCTTTAGTTTTTGAGACAAGTCCTTCCTAAATCTTTAAATTGCCCAAACTGGGCTAGAATTTGCAATCCTCCTGCCTCTGCCTCTAGAGTGCTGGGATTACAGGAGCATGTCACCACACCCAACTTTTCTCATGTTTATTTTGTTATGTTATTTGCTTTATGCAAAGGTTTTTAATTCATCCAATTAACTGAGTTGAGAAATGATAGTGATTAAGCATGCAGATTTGGAATCAATTGGGGGGGGTCACAAATCACTTTTTAAACTGAGTGATCTTGAATAAATTCTTTCACTTGTTGCCAAATTTTCCATATGTGACATAAGGACAATCTTAATGTGTTTTTCATAAAGTTGTGAAGATTCACAAAACACAGCTTAAGTATATGGTAAGTACTATATGAATCACAGCCATTGCCATTTTTATTGCTAAGGCCCTGCCTTGATCTAGATCCTCCTTAAAACTAGTCATACACCTGAATTCTATCTATAGTTTTACTATCACTGCCAGATCTCTCCAGTGCTACCCGGATATACACTGACTGGCTTCACATTAGAGGTATCCAAGACAAGACTGTCCCGTGTCAATGGCGCAGTCTGGTGCTAATGCTGGCACCGCTCTCCACCTCGCACCTTCCATTGCTTATTTCTGGGACACCTCAAATAGCCTGTTGTGCCACAGATTCGGAAGATTTCCCCCAGTAAATTCCCAAGGGTGGAAGTTAAATCAAATATTCAAATTGTGATCTTTATTCTGAAGATATTTTTATCTTCTTTATGTTACCCAAATGTTAATTAACATAGTATGTATTAAGAGTTCCTTTCATATTATGAATGGATAATTTACATATATTTTGAACTCCACTGATTCTAAGCTGAAGGAATATGTTGAAAGTATTCACTAGGTTAAAGCCATATGTTAGGTACTAAGGGTTAATACACTGTTGAAGAGCTGTTATTTTGGGAGGGGTTTACAAATTGTACATTACCTATATATTCATAGGTGCCTTTGATACTGACAGTGAATGCAGCATGTCTAATGTTTTTCTCTCCCTTATATGGAATAGTTAAGCTTTGTGCATTAAACATCTGAAATGTACAAGAATTAACATCTGACTTGGGATAAGCACACAAAACTCTATGGATAGAAATAGTAATGGTATCTCTTTTGGCTTAAAGCCAAGAAATACATTTTAGCATTCGATCTCATCTTGTGTTTCACTCTACTGGCAAATACACTATTACAAGCACGTGTTTATTTCTCTTAGGTAAGAAGGCACAGAGGCAGGGCTTAGCACGCTAAGGTGTGCACCTATTACCTTTAGTTTACAAGTTCTAGATTCTTAGTGTGTTTATAAAATGGTCCACTGAAGCAAGCACTGAAAACTAGACTCTGTGGCATGAAGTCTTTCCAAGTCATCAATTTGCTGGCAACTAAGACAATAAATTATACCAAGTTCTTACACAAGTTCATTTCTGTCCCTTCCCAAAGTCAGAATAAGAATGGAGGATAAAAACTCTTTTCTCCACTGAGAGAAATTCAGAGTTACATATCCAGACTATTTCTTTCCATAGTAAGCCTGTCTGCAAGTCACTTGGCTGAGTTTTTAATTAGCTACTTTAGTTCACATGTTAGAAAATATATTTTTCTTCATAGCCTATGTTCTAGGCCACTGGTGTCTTTAATTAACATTCCAGCTCTTTAAGGACTCAGCAAAGTCCAGGCACATATAGAAATCCCATATCATTGTCCACAAAATAAAAAAGTCAGAGGAGAACAGTCACATTTTTCATGCTTGGCATTTACAGGACACACTTAGCAAATTAACATAGAGGGAAAATGTTCAGATGATATATTTTTAAAAAATAGTGTCTGATAAAATAGCCCTAATATTATACAGGCCCATAAACAGGTGCCCACTGTAAAAGAAAATAGTGGTGTGGCTTCTGAGAGGTGACAAAACGCACATCTGTCTGCTGTACCTGTCCCGTGATGAATTTGTGAGGTGATGACCAATGATACAAATTTTCAAAGAAAGGTACACTCTGTAAGTGCCAGCAGACGTATGAAGTCCTATCTTGATACTTTGGAAGGAAATGTTCTTAACCATACCTTTGTCTTAGATAGTTAAAATTCTCAAAAGCTGCTGAGAGCAAAGGAATATCCAGAAAAATAAATCAAAGTTTTTCTTACAGATCACAGCTCCATGTAACTAACTTTTGAGATTTAAAGATCTATTTTTCTAGCAAATGAAATGAATGGAAATTATAGGTTTATAATTCGTTGCAGCTGGAGGAGACTATAAAAGAGAAATCACAGTCTAGGTCCTTCTGCTGAACACATACAGTATTAGACATTCTACGCTTGTCTCGAAAATGCTGAAGTTACTAACAGAATCAAAACTATGTGATACTATCAAGAACATCTACTATTTCTCTCATCTTGAACTACTTTATTTCTAAATGATCTGAAAATTTTTTATCTGATAATTTCTTGTGATAACCAGAATGATAATAAAAGCTGAATGAAATCCGTATTAGTATATATGCATGTAAGAATATAATTATGTTCCACATACACACTATCTGATAGTATATGCCTTTTTCCCTGTGTACTTTGAGAAGGTACTAAAACTTAGGCCTCTAGGAATAGAAATAAATAAAGAACCATGAGGCTTCTTAATTTTCAGGATTAATGGTAAGAAAAGAGACTGTCAGAGTGCCAGTGAGGTAGCTCAACGGACTACGCACCTGCTTATATAAGCGCAGGGACCGGGTTTGACTCCCAGCACCACATGCCACGCCGGCCCACCCCGGGGCAAGCTAAGTCGGGCACAGAGTCTGGGCATGGTGGCATATGCCTGTAATCCCAGTGCTGGGGAGGCTGAAAACAGGAGGATCACTAGTCCAAGCTGCACAGAGACCAAATACATAAAAATAAATAAATAAATAAATAAAAATGTCAGCGTTCTAAACAGTGCCCTGTGCCTGGGGCTAGAAGTCTATGTAATAACTCAATTTATAATTTTAACAATTGTCTGCATAATGTTAAGTGTATATGGCATGAATATAAAATAATATGCTTAATCAATGCCTACATCAGGAGGAAAAAACATCAGTCCTGCAGGACGTCACATTCAATGCTACCTCCATTCCCAGGAGTAAGGAAATACAGCAACCTATTTATTGTTAGTGTTACAAAATTATTTCTCTTTGAATAAATAGGGATTTATGTGTCTCAAGTGTGTATTAGAAAAATGAAGACTGCAGTGAGGGGAAGTCCTAGGTAACATGCTGGGGCAAGGTCACATGGCTTTGTTGCTTGTATTTTTGCTTTTACTGACATAACTGCAGCTGAACAGTCGTGAGGAACTTCGTGGTGCTCTATCTTGTCCAACAGCATTACTCACCTTCAGGTCCCGATGGACTACGCCCATCTGATGGCAGTGTAGCACAGCCTCCAGGATCTGCTGAATGCAATGACTGCATGCAAACACCAGGGGGCGTGTGTTAGTTCCAAGCTTACACTCACTGTCTGTATATCCTCAGAGAGACTGGGTTCAAATGCAGAACTAGCAGACAACTGGAGTTGAAGTTAAATCCTTCTGTGATGTGCACATATTGCTCAAGGAGAGTGACTACTACCTCAGCACAATCAGGATGTTGCCAGATGTAAGCCAGAATGCAGATCCACTCATTGTCCCCCAAATCTTTTTAAGCAGTTATTTTATTTCATTCAGGACCTCATTTCCTGATTATAAATTCTTCCAGGAAATGAACTGGAACACAGATAGAAAGGTTTGTAGCTGTTACGCTCTGCCTTCCACCATGCACACAATTTATTTTCCTCCCACTTCTCTATTATTGTCCTAAAAGCTGTTTCATTAGCAGATGAGGCACCATTACGGTTGAAATAGGACATGTAATGAATTTTTGATAAATCATTAACTTTGTGTGCTTTAATTTTGCTGGCAATTATTATCTTTTGCCTCAGGGTTCGTCGGACTCAAGTGGAGCAATGTGTAACCAGTTGTTCTGCTACAGCAACCCATGGTCTCAGAACAGAAGTGGTGTTTAAATCTACAGGCGACATACATCACAGGCCATGGTGAGCTCAGGAAAGCCTGCCCCATGCCGCTGGACTGATGGATTGGTTCACTGCTTGGAAAGAGAGCACACTGTACCCGCCTCACCCCGCTTTCCATGCTATGATGTATATTGAGCCTGTAGATAATAAGCAAACTGAAAGAGGCATCATGCATTATCATTTTGTTGGTTACTCATTTAGGAAAAAGTCAGGAAAGGCAAGGGAACCATTTCAATACCGCCTCCCCTCTGCCCTGTCCCCAGACAACAAGAAACTCCTTTGATTCAGATTTACAGACTCCATATACTGACCTTCAGGTCCCTGTGAACTATGCCATTTAGGTGACAATGATTTACACTTTCTAGAATCTGCTGTATACAATGACTGCAAAGATACAAGGGTAGAATGGAAGGGAGAACATTTTAAAGGCACATAATCACATTAAATATGACATAAAATGAAAGTTCAAACAAAACAAACAAATGAAAAATTATACTGCTTCACTTCTTTAGCTTTACACTGGAATTAAGTAATGCTGAATAAAACTAATTTTGGTTCTAACAAAAATGACATCCAACACAGAATTTGTGACATGTTCAGACAAAACAATTTGAGCTGTGTTTTTTAAAAAATTATAAATCTACAAATTAAATAATCTCTATACAGAAGTTACAATTTCTATATTGAGGAAGATAAATTTGTAAGTAATCACAAAATGTGCTGGGGAAAAAAATCTCCAGAGATATAACATTTCCAGCTACATCTCAGACACATCTAAACTGTTTAAAATCTGAGGTCACAATTAAACATAGGTGTTGAAACAAGAGGGTAAACGCAGATGAAATGGTAGGTGAAACAAGGGTTAAAAAAAAGGGAGGGACACAGTTACATTTTTCTCTCTCTCTCTTTCTTTCTTTCTTTCTTTCTTTCTTTCTTTCTTTCTTTCTTTCTTTCTTTCTTTCTTGATACAGTCTATCCAAGTTGCTAAGTTACTTGTGAAGGCTGGAATCAAATTTGTGATCCTACTACCTCAGCCCCCCAGAGTGTGGGGATTATTGGCCTGGGCTATTATCCCCAGCTGCAAGCTCATCTATCCTACATGTTGACTCAGAAGTGGTGCTTCCTGTATAATTCAAGCCTCCAAAAACAGAGGAAGAACTTAAAGTAAACCTGTGACATGAAGGAAACCTCTCCAGTATAAGAATACTCTGGGGAAGGGGCAGTAAGCTTGCAAAAAAAAAAAAAAGCTGAAAATGCTTTGGTGCACTAGTAATTGTTAAACCCATATCTGTATATTTATAGTAAAGGAAGGCTTTTATTTATTACTTTGTCAAAATGCACAATTTATGCTATTCTTAGCAAAGGTTCACTGATGAATATGCTAATTAAGTTGTTGGGGAACTCTGGCCTGGCACCCACAGGTCCCATGAGCTGTCACCTGACATGTCAAAATGTAGAACACATCCCACTGATGAGTTCTGCACAGTTCACTGAGTGATTCCAATGCAGATTTTTACAGAACAACATTCAAAGACAAAGCAAACAATTCAGTAAGGACATTTTCAATCATTTTCATGTACAAAATATCATTAAAGAAAACTGTATACCAAAAATGCTATCAGCACCTAATTTACTACACATAAATATACAAAATATTGGTCATGAACTTGATTTTTCTACCTCTAACTCTATTTACAGTACCACAGAAACAGCCTCCCACAGGTAGTTGATGACTATGTAGCTCATTTAAGCACTGGTCAATATCTTCAAACCGTGAGACTCTTTCTTTTATGATCATGTTCATGTTGAATAATTGGAAAGTAAATAAACAATATTCATATTAATGAGCTACTTTTTACCAGGATGGATTTAATTCTTAAATTTTCTTTTTCAGTGCCAGAAATGTCGAAGTTTGACAAGTCTACAACTGAGCTGCATTCCTAGCCTCCCATTCTGTAGTTATCGAGGGCAATAACAGACTTTTATAAAATTAATTAATTACATGCTAGGGGTTGAACTCAGGGCCTCGGCACGAGCTACATCCCCAGGCCTTTTGAAAAAATAGTGATTTTAAGATAGGGTCTCACTAAGACACTAAGTTGTCCATGGTCTTGAACATGCTGTATTCCTGCTTCAGCCCCTGAGATTACTGGAATTACAAGCTTGCAGCACCATTCCTGGCTTTGCAAATCTTTCCAAGAACATATTATTTATGCTTGTAGTTGGGAAGAGAATACATTCTTCTCTTTGATTTCATGGGTATCCTAGCCTATCATATGGATCCTTCTCAAACTTAATGCAAGGGCGCGCATTAGAAGGTCCAGTACCGTTTAGTCTATCCTGTTATCTACAAGGCTCTGAGACAGCAGAGTCTCCATCATAATTTCAGCCAATATTGTTTATACTTAAAACACATTAATATAACTTTGATGGGCAAGGTAAATAGAATACACTAGCTTGATTAAATTTATTATTCTCTTCTGGCAAGTGGGCAAACAGGTACTACAAGGCAGCTCTGAGGCACTTTTCTGGAGATCATTGTGCAACTGGAGATAAATTAAGTAATTGATGATTTACTCATCATAGTAGAAGTGACAGATTTTTCTATTTGATTTTGGCAGTAAAAATGCTATTAAAAATCAGAGTGTAGTTAGGTAGAGATAGATTCACAAAATGCTGTAACAGTAGCACTAGTCAAGAAAAATCAGAACTTTAGAAGAGAGTTAGTGTGTGCATGTAGTACTTTGGCACAATGGGGACCTCCGCTGATCAGCTGAATACCTGCAGAGGGTCCTCGCCTCAGGACCGTAGCCTCAGAGCTAGTTTTAGAGAGGGGAGTAAGAGAGCCAGAGACTGAATTCTCACAATCTCTCTTCTTTTTTAAACAAGTGGTAACTACAGAATATATAACAAATGCAAAGGGAAATACCATACAGTCTAAGTGATATCTAAATAAGAGGATGAATATTTAAGTAAGAGGATGAATATTATTTTACTCCAAAAAATGTTGCATTTGGGTAAAGGTAGTAGCTTCAAATTAGACAAAATGCTAAACCTTTTTAAAAACATCTGTGAATATTTGTCAAGAAACAAGATTGAGAAATTATTCCTGAAATTTCTAAAATATCTGAATAAATATTTTTCAAGGTAAAGTTCCAAAGGTTATAATGAAATTTCCAGAGATAAAAAGCCTGTAGTAATGTTTTGCAGAGAGCAATGGGGTTTTTATTGGTCTGCTTTTGCTCTGGACTGGTCATGAGTTGTTGGGTAGAATGTCTGTGACGACAGAAGTAGTCTCTGTCCCACTGTTAACCAGCATCAATTGTGATTATTAAAGCCCTTGGAATGCAGCTAGCCCAACTGAGAATGGCTAATAATGTTCAGGCCACATTCCATAGAGTGCTTTATTTTTCCCCTTTAAGAATCATGCTATACACAGTCTTTAAAAAAAGAGAAACTTCTAGTGAGAGAGAACTTCGTAATAAGAAATCTAAATGCTACTGTGAGAGTCTCATGAATACTAAGAAATGTCACTTGAATCTTTGATCTTGCCCAGGGCAAGTTACTTACCTAGCGTCGGCTTCACTGTAATATTCTCTGGCCACTATGTCTTCAAACAGTTCACCTCCAGTAACTCTGTGAAGACAAACAACAATAATCACATTAAAAAAAAGGGGATCAATGGATTTGAAACTAATGTTCACCCTGAATTTTTTTGATTTTTATATTATCAAAATCAAGCATTTAAAAATCTTATGATACTCAGTTTTCCTAAAAATCAAATGTCTTATCATTTACATATTTTCATGTATTATCCCTGTCTTTGGGTTAATAATTTTCTATTATTTTTTACTTAATGTGAGATCATAATTTTTCTATATGTAATAAGTACATTCAGCAATATCTTTTACAGGAAACAAGTTTCTGTTAAAGTCTTCATTTCAGTCCTCTAATTTTTTTTTTTTTTTTTGCGACTCTGGGGATCAAACTCAGGAACTTGTGCTTGCCAGGCAGTGCTTATACAGAGTGTTATATTCCAGCCAGTCCTCTAAATATTAACTGACGATGACTGGCAAAACATGCAGCGCAGTTCAGGAACATTTTGTGAACAAAACCAGAAAACATGCATCTCAGCTTCTGAGTGTGAGCTTGTAAATTATATCTCTTGCATTTGGGTTTTGTGTAGACAACACTAAACATATACAGCTTCCCCTTCTAAATACATACTTTACTTACAAAATGCAATTGTTTAATATCCATAAAAAACTAATTGTAATTTCTATATTATATTAAACCGCAGGTGCTATCCCATATGGAAGTGGGTTTTTTTTTTCCATTTTTAAACTAATAATGACACACAGAACCAATCAGGGTGTACATGTACACATATATTTGCATATTTTAAGGCATTTCTAGAAAAAAAGACAAATAAAATGTCTCCATCAAAGAGTTCCAAAGTCTGACACTTTCTTGGGAGGCAGAATATGCTGCCTCTTCAAAGAGCACAGTATATGGCTGAGAACATGGTGGCCCAAAAAAGTTAGGTGGCTTCCCCAAGATGACACAGACATCTGTGGCCTGGGCAGGCCACCCACGCAAAATAGCTCACATATGTAGCAGCTGCACTGAATGGCTGTTCTATAATGACAGTGCTGTACTTTCCAGATGTGTAGAAGGCAAAAGTCACTTGGAACAACATCAAGTGAAGGAACAGGGCTTCGTGTATGACTATTATAGAGTGTGATGCAAAGATGGTTTTTCTCTTTGTTCTCATTTCTTTTTGCATAATATTATATTCTGGAACATCATCAAATGATAGCATGTTCCACAGGTTATTATTCTCTTCTCTAGCCTTTTGTACCTGAAGGAAGACAGGGCAGAAAAAGATATAAGTTTATCAAGGTGATTCTGCTACTCTCCCCAACTCCACACATTTTGAATTCTTAAGAGTCTCTTAATGCGGGAGTCATTATTTCCAATCCCATTATTTTTACATAGAAAATGTGACCTAAAATGAACATATTAAGCTTCATCTGGCCTTATTCTGAAAAACATGATACATGTAATTAATTTTAACAGCATAGCTATTTTCCCCAAGTAGAATTTATAATAGTATGTAATCACAAAGATGCCCTCGATATATTACAAAATAATAGGAAGTACTCACAAAAAATTTACTATTGTCCTTGTATTGATGATTAACGTTTTGTGAGATTTTCTCCACTGAATATGTATAACATTGGAATAGTTACATATTCATATATAATTTTGTTTCTATTTGTACCCAGAAACCTAAATATATTACAGCTTTAAGTTGTTAAAGTGTTCAATAATATTGATTGCCAATTCTAGGGGTAAGCATGTAGTACAGCTGCAGAGCACATATATAGCAGGCATGAAGCCCTGGATTTAGTCTTCGGCACCAAAAGTCTCTCCATCCCCAAATCACATAAGAATCTACTGTCATTAACAATATTATTGATGCATACAGTAGCTCCTTAAAGTACTGTTTCCACCAGGAAAATTATCAGATCATGGTTCAATGAACTCTTGATTCATTTTTATTATGTTAGTTCCTGACCCAACATTAATATGTAATATTTGCTCACTGATGACATTTGAAGTAATGATCAAATGGATTAAATGAGGGAGAAAATCATGCTATGCATTTCATTTACTGTAAGACAGGACTTCACATGGCCTTAAAAGAAGGAAAAAAATCACCCCCCCCACAATTAGTTAGCTATCTATAGCAAATGGTTTTATTTCTTAATACATTCATATTTACAAGAGAATATTAAAGAGTGTAAGAGCCCAGTCCTCAAAATTTTCAATAAACTGTAACAACTTTAAACAAAAATGCTAAACATGTACAAAGGGCCTACCACTGAGCTACAAATCTAGTGTGATGTTATCTTTTTAACACTGAATTTTAGATTATGTAGTTAGATGTCACTGATATCATTGTTTTTCATCTAGCATTCATTCTTCACATTATTTTAAAATATCTTTATGTAAATAATCATTTTATCACACTGGTGACTTATGATTGATGTCTAAGAAGGAAAAAGTGAGTTAAAATAGAATCCACTGCTTGAAAGGGAAGCTAATATATTGCCATCTTTAATATATTTTTACACTCACATTATTGTTTAATGGAGCACAAAATTAAGTAGTAGTTATAACAGGGTTTGGCACATTTTTGGTGTGCTATGTGAAAATTCATATAATGCTATAAATTAAATCAGTTCCATGAATAAACCATTAGATTATTGAATAAATTGGTACCAGATTTCTGCTATGAAACAACGTATATCAATTATACATTTGTAACATTATTTACCACTTATACTATCTAGAGCATTAGGGTTTATACAGAAAAAATGGATATTTCAGGCAAAAATGTGAGATCCTTGTAATAAAAAGATATTTTTCTGCTCTTTCATTTATAAATATTTTGATTCATATTGTATTGGTCTGCAGAATGAATCATCCTTTTGTTTGTAGTCTGTATATTTGTGAGTTATATCAGAAGTAGTTCAAAGTAGTCAGGCACAGGAAGGCTGAAGCAGAAGGACGGCAAGCTGAGGACCAGTTTGAGCAACTTACCAAGTTCAAGGCCAGCTGGGCTACACAGCAAGACCTTGTCTCAACAAAGTGAAGAGCAGTTTCACTTTGAATGAAATATTTGTAAAATTTCATAAATAGTACAGCTTTGACTGTGAGGCCACACCTGGTAGACTCCAGAATGGGGCTCTGAGTAGCCAAATAGTGCATGCTGCCTAAGAAGTAGCACTGTGTTGGAGATGGGAACTGGTGGGTCCCTGGGGTACTGGAGGAAAAGCCAAGAGCTTCATGCTGGCGCCAAGTTGGAAAACAGGAATCTACACCAGGAAAGCTGGTGCACAGGAAGGAGCATCTTGCCAAGGCAGGACCAGGAATCTCTCGTAGAAAAAAAGTAATTCCACCAGTCGAGTAAAAGTATGAAACTGAAGGATAAGCCTCATGAGGTGAGACCATCAGACCTGAAATCCCAGGCTCCGAGCAAAGGCAACACAGGTCTATAGGGTCACTTGGCCACTTGCAGAGAACACTTCCTGACACTCTGAAAATCAGTATGATTTCATCCACTGAGGAGGGCACATGCTGTGGTGGTTACACACCCATCCGTGTGAATTCTTCCAGCACACTGCCTTCCATATTGTAGGACTGCAGCAGATATTCACTGGGTGCGACCAAGTGGGGCCACAGATGCAATAGTTTTGTTCCCTCAATTATATGTTAAAATTCAAACCCCTAAAATGATGACAGGGGAGGTGGTGGAAAGTAATTAGGGCATGAGAAGAGAGCCTTCATAAATGGGGTTAGTGGGGCCAGCAAGATAGCTCAGCGGTCTAAAGTGCCTACGTAGGCTGGCTTAGGCAGGCACGAGGACCACTGTTTGGTCCCTGGCACCACATGTTATGCCAACCTTGCCCTCAGGGTGGGCTGAGAGGGCCAATTTTTTTTTTTAAATGGGGCTAGTGCCCTTGAAAAAGGACCCCAGAGATCCCTCTCCCTGTTTCCTCCAAGTATGAATATTCACACTGCTGGTGAGGGATGGGAAGAAGTCATCAGTTGGAGGGAAGCTGCTTAGCCTCCCTTCATGGTACTGAAGCAGCAAGACTTAGTCACAGTCCACATACTACGTGTCAGCAGCATGACTTTGTTAATATGACAACCAGAGTGCCTATGCCCCTCTCACTTCCAGTCCCTGCAATGGCCTCCTAGAAACTCCTAATAATCACTGACCTAAGGGCACAAAATTTGTGAGGATATAGTAGAAAATGGAAGTCTCTTGGCACCATGTTCTGAGATAGAGTACATCAAGCCAACGAGGGGTGTAAGGATCTTTTGATCAGAACACATAAATGACAAACGCTGAATCTTCAGCACCTTCCTTACCCAGAGGCTGGCACTCAAGGGGAGTTGAATACATGTTTGCCAAGTGAGAAAATAATTAAATGGCTGATAAAACTATCATCATCAGTTTTCCAATATTATACTTTGAGTCACAATACGACGATGAAGAGGCTGAATCACCTTTCATATATATTATTTATCTAAACACCTGAACTATGTTCTGCTAATTTCATTTCAAATCAAGTCTTCTATCTCCTCTTCAATGTCACCAATCTAAGTCACCACCATGGTGACACCACTGTAGTAACTGTACTAGTTTAATTGGCCATTTTCTCTCTGGTCACACTGCTGTTAATTCTCTGTGTAAAACAGCTTTAAATGCATGTAATATTTTGCATAGAACAGCATGAAGTTCTTTGATAGTCATTGATTTTTCTAAAATGTCTTCTATGGCTTCCACATCTCCCAATCTCCACAGGGACCCTTCTTTGTCTTGTTTTAGCCACCATGGCTTTTGCTCAGACCCTCAAGTACACAGGACTCCTTCCTACCTAAGATCTTTAAACATGTTCTTGTCTCTCAGGACATTTTCTTTTTTTTTTTTTTTTTTTTTTTTTAATTTTTATTTATTTGAGAGAGAGAGAGAGAGACAGAGAGAGAGAGACAGAGAGAGAGTGTGTGTGGTGTGTGTGGCCAGCTCAGCCCACCAGGGGGCGGGGCTGGCATGTGGTGCT